CAAAAAGAACAGGAGTACTTGTGGCACCTTAGAGATGAACACATTTATTTGAGCATAAGCTTTTGTGGGCTATGGCCCACTTCTTCGGATGCATAGAATGGAACATATATTGAGGAGATATATATACACATACAGAGAGCATGAAAGGTGGGAGTTGTCTTACCAACTCTGAGAGGCCAATTGAGTAAGAGAAGTGATAATCAAGATAGCCCAGTATATATATATATCCTCAATATATGTTCCATTCTATGCATCCGAAGAAGTGGGCTGTAGCCCACAAAAGCTTATGCTCAAATAAATGTGTTAGTCTCTAAGGTGCCACAAGTACTCCTGTTCTTTTTGCGGATACAGACTAACACGGCTGCTACTCTGAAACCTGTCAAAATAGAGAGGATCAGTTTTTAATATGGTTATCCATTTGTTAAAATTATTCTTTAATGACATCTTGTATTCTCCTCCTTCTACCTCCAATCCCTTCATAGTTTTCTCCATGTGTCCCTCCTGAAACAGGAAAAGAGAGTGGATACATTTAAATGAAAGACACATGAATAAACAAAAAGATCCTTACAAAATTGTCCGTGCAGTTGTTCAGGGAGGATGATGTAGGATCCTCACAGACTTCTGTTGGCCCATCCATCTTTTGCATATTTCCAAACTGCGTGGCAGTCAGCTCGACATCTGCAATAAATACATTAATAATATATAGGATTTTTAATGGAGTTGGTTCTCTTTGAGTTCTTTCATGTAGACATTACATTTGGCATGTTGACAAAATTAACACTGATGCACCATAGACAAAATTAATACTGTGACATCATAGACTCAATTTACTTTGAATGACATCACCCTTCTATCAGAAAACAATTTCAGGAACATGCAAACTGGAATTTGTGTTGGAAAATGACAAACTCATTCGAGATTAGATGACCCCGTAGTTAGATAACAGAAGAGAAAGTTTTAGACAGGTTTTGAATAGAAGAGACTATTGTGAGCCAGAATTTAGGAGGAAAGGTGAGATTTGAATAAATTGCCTAAAAGCTTTGTAAACAAAATGGTGATACTGACAGTGGGAAAAGAGAGATGGATAGAGGCCTATAGCCAGCTGATTGGAAGAATATATAGAGAGGAGGGAGTGATAAAGTCAGAAAGATAGGATGGGAGAAGGTAGTGTAAAGATTATGTAAATCAGTAGGCCAATCTAGAATTACACTGTGGAATAGGATCGGGCAACTCAGGATCGAGATGTTGGGCTGATGTTTGCATGTTAATTATGGACAAAAATGTGTGCGGCTTTGCAAATATAGTTTATATATAAAATTATATAAATGTAATTTAGAGGTGACATCTTGGAGCATGTTAAAATAGAACATTCTTAACCAAAAATTGTTGTGATTGCTTTGCTTGGTATTGTTATTGTCTTTTGGTCTGTGGATGTATTTCTATATTTAATCATGCTTGAACATCAGTATTTCGCCCACATCTAACTGGCTAACAAATGAAATAAATAGACAACTGGTATACATGAATACATATATAATTCAAGTTACTAAAGATCCAAATGTGCTGATGTTCTCAGCAAATCTTTCAGCAGGTTGGAAGAGAGGCCTGCTGAAGATGTATAACCAGGAGAACACAAAAAAATTGATGGTGTAGAGATTGGCGCTACTAGAAACCAACAGTCTGTCATTATTTTTAACACTTACTGTTTGAAAAGAACTCATGGTACATTGGAATACCATTGAAGTCCCCACAAAGCCCACAGGTATAATTGGCATATTTGTCACTCAGTTCCAGCTAAAATGATGGGGGAAAAGTTGGTAGAAGTTAATATACACATTCCACAATGTATTCAAAATCAGTGCAAGCAGCTGTGCCTGCTACACCTACATAATTTTCATCAGTGTTGTGTAGATGTTTTGGCAGACCAATTCAAACCTGGCTGATAGAATATGGACGAGGTTTGGATATGATTTCTGATTCATCGAATCCAAGTTATTTATGCAGAACTAGTTTTCACTGCAATATCTGTATTATAATCAGCCTTTTTAGTATCTATTTTTTTCTTCAGAAAGAAAATCAAATCCACTGTGACACTGAAGTCCTATGACAGTGGAATTCTACTGGAAAATAAAATGCGAGGAGGTGAGTGGCACCTGATGTAATGATGCTATTATGTTAATGAAGTAAGGGAAGTGCTTTTTTCCATTTTAAGTGGGAGGCCTGATTTCCACTAGGAACACAGCACAGTTGCTTTCTTCAGGAATGCATGAATGCAATCATAGCTCTGTAATGGGAGAAATAATCAGCACAGGGAAACAGCAGCTCCCAAACTGCTGGGGGCAAATATATCCAGGGACTAACCATATATCTTCGTACTACCTCTCAAGATTTAGGCTTTTTTTTTTAAAGATATAGAGTTGGAAGGGACCTCAGGAGGTCATCTAGTCCAACCCCCTGCTCAAAGCAGGACCAATCCCCAGACAGATTTTTAGTTTCTCTTTTGTACACCTTTACCTACTTGATTTGCATATGCCATGGCTGTTTGTGTGCACAAATGTGGAATCAGTGCGTGCAAATGGGTGCCCAAACAAATTCTTAAGCCAGTCAAAAATTTGAGTCTAAATGTTTTAATAGCCTGTTTCCTATTCTCTGAAGCATCTAGTATTTATTCTTACCAGGATGCTGTCATCTTCATTCCACATGAAAACCAGGCCCATTTTGGCAGTCACTTTTATATACATGCTGCTTCTCTCAGCCATGATTCCAGACTGGCTGTAAGGCAGCTGAACCCTGGAGAAAAAAAGTATCAGAGATGCTAAGTATTTGCTTTGCTATGCAGAATACGAAGAAAAGGTTGCTTGTGTTATCAGGTGTCCATGTGGGTTCTTCGACAATGCAGTATTGTGGAAGAAAAAGCAGTTTAAAAAAAGATGGGCCCAAGCCACAAAAAATATGGATCTGGATCTGGATTCAAGCTTCCTCAAAATTCAGGGGTATTTTGATCTGGCGTTCTGGTTTGGGCCCATCTTTACAGTGTGATATCTTAACAGAAGAATGGCGAGATGGGTGTATGGTTAAAGTTACATGGTTTATCAAAATGCTTAGAAGTTTTTCCAAGAAAGTGCTGAAATATATGCCTGGTTTGAGGAAACAGCTATGTTCAGCACACACAGTGATATGTCTAAACCTACCTGTTGCCATTGACAACAACAAAGTTCTTTGCCATTTCAAAAACCACCCCATCGAGCTTCATGGTGATATGGTTGATAGTAGGAGCATTTTCCACCACAGTGCGCCTGATTTGGATGTTGAAATCCTCATAGGCAGCATTGCAGTGGGATGCAAAGACGTAATTGCAGAGTCCAGGGAAGTAAAAGATGTCCCCATCAAAAGTCTTGAAGTGGAAATTGCCCCACGTACTGCATACGCGGCCATTGTGAGCAGGGTTGAAGGCTGTGGATTGAAAACTCTTTGTAAGAATTTACTGGAAATTCTCTAACTTAATGTGAATATTATTATATCAGTCTGCCCAAGCCTTCATTTCCTTAGTTTATTCATTGCTCTGTCCCCTTCCATTTATTTTCTGTCCATTTATCAATTGTGACACTATACATAATCAATTTGTCCATCTATCCACCTACTTATTTAACCCATCTCTGTTCCTCCACCCATCTTCTGTCTGCCATTTATAATGTACAACCCTATCTATATTTCTGGGTTTCTACTTATCTATCATATGTCTGTCCCACCTATCTACCTATCAATCAACTCATTGTTTTGCCATCATATCATGTTTATCCAGCTATTTGTTCCTTACACCACTGATCTACCCATTTTTTTTGATTAATCAGTCTGTTTCCCTGTTTATTTTAACTTTCTGATCAGTACTTCAGAAAGATGGAGGAATTTTTGAGACTATTTGCTTAACTTACATGTTATTACTGGGCTTGTTGTCAGTGGCGGGATGAAGTTCACTGTTCCAGATGGAGTATTAGTAGTAAATGCTGCAGACAAATAAGAAAAAAAATCAGTATAGAAAGTTTATGGGTGGTGGTAGTGGGAGGAATCCACCCGCCTTAACATTTTCTAACAAAGCAGGATTGCATCCTTATTTTGTAGTCATTCTACTCAGAGAATGTGAGAAAGAGACACTTGCATAACAGTAGGATGCAAGAGAAAAGGAATTTGGTGGCCTCAGTCTAGTCTCCACCTGTCCATATCACAAAACCACCTGTCAGGTAATCATTATCCAGTAGAAATAACTTTTTCTGCCCAGAAGAGTCCCTGGGCCAGAATAGCAAAGGATCAGTGCTGAGGTGCAGAACTCTAAATAAAAGTTTGTACAATTCTTGCTTTCTCCATTTTATGCCTGATTCAATTTGCTGCCTGCCCTTACTTTTATGAAGAACAAAATTCACTGAAAATCATTATATTTACAATTGACAGTGTTTAGAGAATGGTGAACAAGAAAGAGAAAATTTACATTAGCACAAAGGATTATGGAAACACTTCTCAAGAAGTGGCAACAATTATGATATACGAATAGGAGGAATTCTGCAAGCCCTTAATCATGCAAGTAATCTTTACATTTAATAGGAATACTCACATGAGTAAGGGCTTTTGGGATTAGTTCTAATTAATGTAACATTATCATAATAACAAAGCATACAAAATGATGAATGACATAGAGAAGACAGATCAGGTACTTCAGTTCACCCTGTCTGATTATACAAAAAAACAAGGGAAGAATCAATGTAAATTGGCAAATATAAGTGGCAAATTTGAAACTCAGATGAAAAGTGGCAAATTCAACAACATGCAGTTAGGCGGGGGAACTCATTACCACAATATCGCTGAATCCAAGAGCTTACATGGATCACAAGAATAACTAGAGTTATTAATAACAGATACTAACAGACATAAATAATTTGAAAAGGATATAAACCCTCATGTTTCAGAGCTTGAGACCACCTCTAACAATTGTGAGTGAGGAGGAAAACTTTCTTTGGGTGCAGGTTACCCCATGACTGTCTATTGCAGGGTTTCTTGCACCCTCCTCCGAAGCATCTGGTACTGGAGAGTGTGATTAACAGGATACTGGAATTGATGGACCATGGGGGTCTGATCAAGTATAGGGTAATTTTTACATTTATGATTACATAAAAATGTAGGATTTAACAACAATCCTAGTGGAAAACTCACCAAAAATAAAATGTTTTAAAACATTTTAAACTGATAGTGAAATCACGACATTTCAAGAGATGGATAGTTATTATTTTGTTTTGATCTTCAAAGCTATCTTCATCCAAATGTTGTTAATTGTACTGGCTTGAGGCAAGATGAAATTAAATCAGTCCAGTTAATACACAACATTAAATATTTAATGGAAATGGTACAAAAATAAAAAGACACAAAGAAATCTCATTTAAATGCAACCATCTAGAAGGTTTGCAAAGTAAAAGAAATAAAACTGTTTAAACTATATCCATATAGAGCCAATTAAATTAGACTTTTTCTTTTCTTTTCTCAGAGCAAAATGAAATATGAATGGGTTCTTACCTTGTTTTTGGGCACAGCAGACACCTAACATAAAGGCCCATACGGACACCCGTATCCCCTGACCAAACCCCATCCTGAGTGGAGTTTGGCACAAGGATACTGAGTCAGATGTTGGTCAGGAGAAATAGTTCACCTGCACTGTCTGGGTCTTATATAGCAGGAAACTTTGGCTTTGCTCCCAGATTGTTTCACAGGGACTGAGAAGGTGAGGTTTGGGGGATAAACAGAGGATGCTCTTTTTTTCTCAGGGACTGACCAAGCTTGTTTGTATTTTGGGAGGAGTATTATTTTTCTAAAGGTTCTGGCTAATAAAGGAACATAACATGAATGACAGTAGAACAATTCCTGTCCCATTAACAGCAGATCCTGAAAAAATAGTCAAAGATCTTTTGAGTCACTTGGTGGTTTTTTGAATGACAGGCAGGTCACCTTATATGTTTCTAGTTTCTGTAAATGATACCAGTTTCCTCTCTGGTGAAAACCAGTTCTTCCTTAGTCCTCAAGAGGATGCAACATTTCAGCATGGGGGACCCTCCTTGCTTTAGAAACAATTTGGTGCCTCATGATGTGGATATTCTTTTTGTGATACGAAGCGACCTGTAGCCCTAAAGGACAGGTACTATGTGAGCACATACAGTGAGAATTTCTCCATGCTGCATAGACAACAAGCATTATGCATCTTCCTGGGGAGATTTGAGCTGTTTTTATCCATGCTTTATATCCTGATTATATTAAAGATTGGTCCAAACCCTGCACTCTGGATCCAAACACTTCAGATTTTCCAGTTGTGTGGCTCTGGGTTTATCTTCCAGGCTTCCAGAGCCCATCGAAGGCTGATTTCTACTGCCAAGGTTTGCAAGTAGAAATTAGGCTCTGTCCCTGCTAGGTTATACCTTCAGTTCTGCCCAACACTCCTTTCCCAGTGCCCCATTTCCACCTTAATTCTCGACTCAGAATTGTTGTCTTGTGGGAGGAAGCCCATGGGGTGGACTATTGAGGGGTATTAGTTGGGCGCTTCCCCAGCTGCCTCTCTGTGTCCTGCAAATTCAGGCCACTGTCCCTGTAATTTCACAAGGGTCTAACTGAGGGTGGAACCTGACCCGACCTTCATATTGACATGGGTGGTGAGAAACACTGCAGTCCACTCCACACTGCTCTCACCACCCACTGGAAGTTCAGACCCCAGAAACACTTGCGTGATTGTTGGGGGGCCTGTGGATTCTCAACTCATCATATGACAATGGTAAGAGGGAATCCTGAGAGGGTTGAGGTGAAAACCAGAGAAATTAATTGTCTTCACAAGATTTCCCTCCATTTTGTTTTAGATGCTGGATCCAAATTCAGAGATGAGTTACTGTGAAAATCTGGACCCTACATTTTTACTTTGGCAGTCTGCTGAACTAGAATCACATCCATACACTGCTGAGTCATCCCATTGTCAGTTATGGGTCTGAATCTGCTCTCACGTGCTCCAGTCTGAATCGGAAGTAATTCCACTGAACTCAAGCAACCTAACACCAGTTTAAGGGAAAGGAGAATCAGGGTGATCATGTTTGCGGGATTCAATCTCAAATGTGTTACTCCAATTTTGCTCCAGCTTAACTCCATTCACATCATTGGAATTACAACAGCTAAAAGTGGTGTTACAGAGTGTTGACTGTGGCCCTGTATGTGTATGTTCTGTGTTAATAGAAATCTGTCAAGACCTGTTAATGTACTGATCACAGATATGGACCTGCAAATCCTTTCCACAATTGTTACCTCCGATATTAATAATTTATCATTTTAAAAATGTGAATTAATTTATATTTAAAGAGACAATGTCAACATTTCTGGACTCTTGCTTTGTGCCTTTTAAATCTTCCATTTTAAAATTTACTCCTTTTATTTAGGGAAAAAAACCCATCGATCTTCAAATGTAGGGCTTTGGCATTCTTTAAAACCCTGATGAACTGGGCAAAAGCCAACATGCAGTCCAGTACATTGTGTTTGTCAGGATCACCAATATGGTTATACACCTGTCAGGTATAACATAAACATTGCAACAGTTATCTGTAGTATCTGTTTGCTCTGTTTTTCTGAGCTCACAGAGGAGTGTATTTGATGATATTCCTGCTCTGAGAGCATATTAGAGCTTGATTCTTATCATTTTCAATCTCCTGCTAGTTTGTAAGAATGGAGCTGGCAGACCGAGTCAGGAGTCAGCACCATGTGCATGTATCCACTCTTTCCATGTGCATGCCTGTGTTTGTGTGTTCATTGTGTGGGATGGGGTGGGAGGACTATTGCATCAAAGAAAGAGAGAGTATGTGTGGGGGATAGCTGAAAGATCACATGTCTGATGTGTGTAGGGGGAGAGGAGAAGTCACAACTGTGTGTCTAGCTTGCAGGTGGCTGGAGGAAAATCATGCAGATGAGGATATATGGAAGTGGAGATAAGACAGGTAAATTGTAGGAGAGAGGAAGTTTCCAGGAGAATGGGAAAGTATCATCTCCAGCACGTCTGGTGGGACTCAAACTGGTGACCTCTCACAGGCCAGTCTGGAGCCCTTCTGCCTGACCAACTGGGATATTAAGTAGCTATAATTTCTTACAGCTGAGATAGTCAAAGGAGTCTAAGGAAGTTAGGGGCTGAATTTCAGTGGGAAATGGGCATCTAATTCTCTTAGGCCAGGGTTGGGCAACCTGTGGCTCCGGAGCCACATGCAGCTCTTCAGAGGTTAATATGCAGCTCCTTGCATAGGCGCCAAGCCCGGGGCGGGAGCTACAGGCGCCAACTTTCCAATGTGCTACAGGGTGCTCACTGCTCAATGCCTGGCTTTGCCCCATGCCCCAGCCCCACTCCACTCCTTCCCCCAAGGCCCCTGCCCCTTCCCTGAGTCTGCTGCGCCCTTGCTCCTCTTCCTTCTCTCCCCCCCCCCCAGCCTCCTGCACACCACAAAACAGCTGATTGTGGTGGGCGGGAGGCGCAGGGATGGAGGGTTAGGTACTGATCAGCGGTGCTGCTGGCGGGTGGGAGACACTGGGGGTGGGGGTGGGGAGCTGACGGGGGGCTGCTGATGTGTTACTGTGGCTCTTTGGCAATGTACTTTGATAAATTCTGGCTCCTTCTCAGGTTCAGGTTGTCCACCCTGTCTTAGGCTTTTTTCAAAATCTCTGCTTGCAATTATAAATGGAAACACATTCTCCCTAATCATAATGCTTTCAATTATAACACTCTGCATGCTACTGCATTGCACCTCGGCTCCCTTTTACATTCCATTAAGTGCTGTTAGTACAACTGTTTTTTAACAACAGTCCCATGTAATGTTAAGAATACAGGTTCCTAATGGAATATTTTATTATACTAAAATGAACAAAACTGAATAACACTTTCAAACTTTATTCTAATAGATTTTGGACTGAATTCCAGATGGTGGCCAAATGCGCAAGTGTTAGTCATAAGGTCAACATGCTAGCCTTTCTATTATACCACGCACGGTATATGATCCCTATCGAGACATCCAGGATGTCTGATGAAATCATATCTGAAGAGTTAGTAATAAGTTGTTTACATCTTCATGGTTCAGAAGCCCTGGAAAATGGAATAAAGAAAAGAAAAAAACCTGGACTTCCTGCCCATAGGACATTAATTTACTCTGTGCCAGTACCTGTAATTAATGTCAATACATCTGTATGTGGAGAAGGCAAATGCCATGTAGTTTTTGTGTTGGCTCAAACCAGTTAAATGTTTTAGATAAATATACTTTAGGCTTGTTTAGATATTTGAACAAGATATCTACAGTATGTCAAATTGGGCATCCTGCTACTGTTGTACATATAGTTCTAGTCAATCTATCGTGTTCTACGCTGTGCTCAGAAGTGACAGAGTTGGCATTTCTGTTTGCCCCCTTCCCTGTAGGTGCCCATGCAACTTCTGATATTATTGGTTACTAGGGCCAGTCTTGTGTTTGATACCCTACGGTCTGATTCTCCACTTGTGCAGTGATTTGTACTGGTACAAAGTGGACCAGATGCACCACTACATTACTTTAGTTTTAAGATGCTATCATTCCATTGAATTCAATGGAATT